TGCTAGCAACAACTAGCAACATCAAGCTGTCCTAACAACCTAACAACAATACATTAGATTATATAAATATATGTATTACAGTAAAATTTGAATCTGAACTACTTTGAGCTTGGGGATATTAAAGGAGAATAGGATTCGGATTTTTGACTGCTACTTGGTATCAGAATATTTTGACACCCTGATATGTACATTTTGGGGGGCCATCTCTCCATCCATTAATTGACCGATTTAGTCTTCGTTGATCCGAAAAATATTTAACATTATGTAGCTTTGAATTTGAATTTTTCAAGCTTGTATCCTGTCATGTAACTGCTTTAGCACAGAAATATTGAATAACTGAAAAAGCATGCATTTGTAATCTAAGAAGGAAAAAGGCTGACAGGACTTGAGCAGTGAATAGAGCACAGCAGCTTCTGGATGTTAAAGCAAAAGGGAGGGAGGGAGAATAATCTCACTGAGATTTTGTGTGATGCCTTGTTCTCTTCTTTTGTTGAGGATGCATGATGCATGCAGGTAAAAATTTTGTTGCCCGAATCTCTTTACAGTCCTAGCTTCAGCCTTAAACCAAGCTCTCTTCTTTTGACCAGGACTCTCTATGACCAGCTTCCTATTTTTGATCAAACATCAAACTATCAGATTTTGGTAGGTATGAAATGTAACGAGAATAGTAAGTTAATGTGTTATGAGCAGGAAACAGGACTGAAACAGTACAACATGAGGATAAATCAACATCAAGTTAAAAAAATGACCATGAAGATGAAATGTGCAAGTGACATGCGAGAGGCAAACACTGTTGCAGATGCACTATCTAAACTGGGTCATGTTCTTCCTCAAATCCATTTGTTCTTTGTAATTAATGATACAAATTTGATATTGTTGTTTCTAGTTTTCTTGATGTAATCTGTTTTTGAGAGACTTTATGTACTTGGGTATGCAAGAGGAAGTTTGTAAATTAACGCTTTTAGCACTCAAGGGGAAATGGAAAAATAGACTTTTATGTTGATGTGAATGCGATCAACTTTTTTGTGGATGTTCAGATTTAGTGTAGGCTTGTATTTGATAGAGAATGTATTATTTTTGGCGATGCAAATTAGTGTCGATAAGCGTCAGTAAAAGTAACACTTTTGTCGACGCTATATTTCGTCGCTAAATGTAACACTTTTGCCGACGAGATATTTTGTCACCAAAAGTAATATCTTTTAGCGACGCAATCTTGCGTCGGCAAAAATACACTTTTAGCGACGCGGAATGTAGCGTCGCTAAAAATCTAATATTTGACGACACATGATTTGCGTTGGCAAAAGTATACTTTTAGCGACGCAGAATAGAGCGTCGCTAAAAGCTACACTTTTGCCGACGCAAATCATGCGTCGCCAAAGATTAGATTTTTAGCGACGCTCATTTCCGCGTCGCTAAAAGTGTATTTTTGCCGACGCATTACCCTTTGCCGACGTTATGTACGTCGCCAAAAGTGCAAGATTTCCCGACGTCTTTTCACATATGGAAAAAATCAGCATGTTTTTACCGACGCAAAATAATATGCGTCGCTAAAAGATGTACTTTTCCCAACGCATGTCGCGTCGCCAAAAGTATTATGCCACGAGACGTGATGTATGGGGGTACATGTTCTATATGTTTTTCTGTAGACTTGAATGCTGTGGCCTTTCTAGCTTCATGTGTTTTATTTATCCAAGTTCCAGAAGAAGGTTTACATCTCACCTTCACCTGTGTCAGAATACAAGGGGGTTTTTTCTTTGTTTGGTCATAAAACATATGCCTCCACAAGAACATGTTTGGCTGGAAAAGAGTTACGTATAAAGGGAAACACAATCTGATGAACAATAATGGTGAAAGAAGTTTATGAATCTGTTCATTACTTTCTCCACCTATTTTTACCATCCAATTACTGTAAAGATACATAAGAATTTTTACACCAAGCAGATGCTGGTATAATGATTTATAATGCTATCATATCCTGATTTTTTT